GCACGTGAAGAGAACCAGTAGTAAAACCGGGAGCAACCCGCCTCTGATCAGGCCCCATGAAATGCCTGTTTTCGATGGGGTTGGCTGTGTAGGGGATGTTTTATTGAACTTATTTTTTGTTTATTTTGAAATATTACTTGTGGGTCGTAGGAGAACGGCATGGAAAAGCCTGATTAGAATTGGTTGCACAACACAGGACAGAGGTTCTTGGTACTCTCTGAGCTTGTTTTCTTCTAGACATTTCATTCCCCAAACTTGGTAACATCATCAGTGCTCCAAAGATGTTACTTAGTTTGGGTAATGAAACGTCTGCAAGAAAACCACCAAGCTCAGAAAGCATCAAGGGACCTCACAGTTCAGTTCTGAGTTACACATAATATATTCTAGAGATCCATGTGTTACATTTTGTGAAGATATACATTGTATAAAAATAGAGAACTGTCCATCCACCCACCCACCCAAGATAGGAAGTTACACAGGTAGTTTAGCACTGATGATGTTACCTAGCTTGGTTAGTGAAACATCTGAAAGAAAACAACCAAGCTCAGAGCGCACCAAGGACCTTCACTTCAACGCTGAGCTACAAATATTCTCCTCTATCAATCACACAGAATAGGAGGGGAAAACCTATGTCCCTCCCTGCTGAACCACAGTTCCCGGCAGTGGTGGGATCCTCCCAGTTTTAACAACTGGTTTGGTGATAGCATGATGATTTGCCTGCACCTGACCTGTGCTGTGCAAGCACGCGCAGTTTGAAGAAATCTTCACTTCCGGGTATCTTTGGAGGAGTAACACAGCTGATTCACGTGGCAATCTGCTCTGCCACGCAAATCAGCTGAGAAGATAAAGGTAGGAAAATAGCATGGGCAGGTGGGTGGGCCAATCTGATCGTCGGGGTGAACCGGTTTGCTCCCAGCTGATCATTGGAGCTACCGGTTCGCCCAAACCAATCCAAACCAGTAGAATTCCACCCCTGGTTCCCGGCATTCCTCACCACTGGTTATACTAGTTGAGGATGTTGCAAGCCATAGTTCTGGAGAATGACGCATACAATCAGAGCAGTAAATCATCATAACANTTGTTACAGTTTTGAATTTTACTGTTACTATCTTCCTTCCGTCGTGCAAACCGCCCAGTCATATGACACCCCCCCAGCCACACCCATCAAGCCACGCCCACATAACCGGTAGTAAAAAATTTGAATTTCACCACTGCGTGTGGGACACTGAGGATCAATTTGTAGCACCAAGGGGGCAGTGGACTGAAAAAGTTTGGGAACCACTGGACTATTGCAATATACAGCATGTACCACTTAACATCAGTCTTGAGGCTACTTGGAAGCTACAGGTGGTCCTGGATGCAGCATCAATGGTGCTGAAACATGCCAATGTGGGATATCTGCTTCATGAGGTGGTGAAAGCTTCCAGATGAAACTCAAGGTTCTGGTTACAATTTATAAAGCCCTTTATGATGTAGGGCCAGGCTGTTTGAGGGACTATATCTTTAGCTTCTGCCCATCCTATATGACTGAACAGAGGGCAATGCTCCAATTCCTATTAATTAATGTCAGATAAAAGGCTGTCTCTGTTGATATGAATCATTGCTTAGCATGTTGCATAAGTCCAATAATGATATAACAACCATTGAGACTATGGGGAAAATGCCATTCTTCATCTTAACCCTATTTAATGGCCTTTCTTGGCCTTCTCCTTCCACATATGTGGGAGGGATATTTTGAAGCACCATTATGATTGGTGCTGAAATTGTGCAGTTGCCATGGTATCTAGAGTATGTGCTGCAGTATCTTATTTTTGAAGTTTTTTGTATTTACTTTGTATAATACTCTGCATTCATAGCTGATCTTAGGCAATGTGAAAGCTGTCTTAAGCCTGCTCAGTTTTTTCCTCATTTTTGTTCCAGTGAACCTCCACATTGTAACATGTTCAGTCTGAAGATCTGGAAAAAATCAAACAAACATAAATTATAAAGTTACGTATGAATTCACAGAGACTTTCCCATCTCTGGCAACTCATTTAACAGCTGCTCTTTTTCTGGGAATGGTCTATTATGTTCAGTTAGAGGTATAATTATTTTCCTTGGGAAAAGGAGTATTATCTTTTCCTTCAATGTCCCTTCTTTCTCTGCAGTGATCAAGGGCTCTGCCATTACAATGTCGCTGAACGCTTGTCACTGGAACCTTCTTTGGATTAAATCATGATTATAACTTGGGTTGTCGGATTGGCTTGTATAGCCAAAAATGGATCTGTTCATTTAAACTCAAAGTCCAAGTTCACAGCAAGTTTTTATGTTTACAACGTATAAAAAATGTGTTCCTGTTTGCTATTGAGACTTTCCAGTTGTAATATGCTCTGTGCTGCAACTCAACTAGTCTTTCCTCATAGCTTCTATGGAAAGGTTGTGCACTGTGTGGGGATGTCCAGAATTAATTGCTGAAAGCCCCAGATGATGGCAAAAAAAGGCAACACAAAGAGAAAGATCATTGGGAGAAGCCAGCCCCTGTTGCCAGCTTATTTATTGTTCTACAAGCAGGGGTAAAATCCAGCAGGTTCTGACAGATTCTGGAGAACCGGTAGCGGAAATTTTGATTAGTTCAGAGAACCGGCAAATGCCACCTCTGGCTGGCCCAAGAGCGAGGTGGGAATAGAGATTTTGCAGTATCCTTCCCCTGTCAAGCCACGCCCACCAAGCCACGCCCACAGAATCGGGAGTAAAACAATTTGAATTGTTTGAATTTGCCTACAAGGCCTGTTATGTGATCCCATCTTCCTTGACTAAGGTGCTCGGGAAATTTGGCCGCAAAGCAGCAAGCCAGTCAGCACATGGTAGAAAAGTCTGATTGTCCTTTTTAAAGTGTTTGCCGCACACAGTAGAGAGAGGAACAGAGCAACAGCACAAAAACAGGCAGCTACTTTCTCATTGTGATTGGATTAATTTCATTATTTTTGGATAAGTTCATTGATCATTTGTTGCAGATAGGAAAGCCTGTGCGTGTTGTGCAGGATGCAGTATAAATGTATTAATCTCAGCAGTTCCAGTCAATGTGACCAAGAGGAAGAAATATTGCACGGATGTACTTCAGCAATGTTTGGAGAACAACATTTGGCATATAGGAGTTCAGCTTGTCTTTCAAGATATTATTTTCTGAGTTTAAACTTTATCATTTTAGAATTATGTGATGTCTACTCCCAATTTTTTGGTTATAGGTTACAAACATAGATTGTTACCTAATAGAATCAGATATATGTTTTCCCAGAAGTAAAACCCACTGATTTCTAAGAAAGCACATGTATATAAAATTCAAAATGTAGTCTATATTTTAAAATGGTGTTATTCTGTCATCCTGTAAAGACATATATCATTGACTTGCCAACTTTAGTCTTCCTGCTCTTTAATGATCAACTTTTTTTTGGCAGTTTGAAACAAGTTGGGCACTTGGTGCCAATTTGGCTGTGATTGAGTTTAAATATAGCTAGATGGCAGCACCTAACTTATTCAGCTGATCTCCAGAAGTTTAGTTAGGGTTGGATAAGGTTAAGCACTTTGATGGAAGACCACCTGGTTTAGTCTAGGAAACTGAAAATCATCTTGGAGGAAGGTGATGGCAAGCCATCTTTACATATTGTTAAGAAGATGGCATCGATCTCTCCATGAAGTCACCATCAGCTACTGCCCCCCCCCCCCTTTGTACAAGCCATAGTGCTTTCTGGGATCAGGTGATCCAGTCTGCCCTTGATGTGATGGAAATAAGGGTTCCACGTAGCTTAGAGATACACTCCCCACATTTACCCGGCAGCACAAATGTTTTTCTTTTCTCCTTTTCTCCCAAGTTTTTTTCAAGATCGATAGTCGCAGTTTTTTTTTCTTATATACATATTCTTCCTTAGGTAGATAAGAAAGAAGAGTTAAGGAACTGCTCAGAAAGGTCGGTAGTTCGGCGGTTCGAATGCCTAGTATAGGTCTCCTGCGTGAGCAGGGGGTTGGACTAGATGACCCCCAAGGTCCCTTCCAACTCTTATTACCTGTTAAATAAACATATTGGTTCAACGGGGGAGGGGAGAAACCCTCTTATTTGCGAAAAAAAGCTTTCCTGTAAGCTTTCCGTTCTGCCGATTTTGAATCCTCAACCTTGACTCTACCGATTCGGTTCGGCACCAGCCACACGATCGCCTTCGCCTAATACAAATCGTTGGCCAAGCTGTCTTCAGAAAAGGGAGTCCCGCACAGCATCTCCTATTCAGATTTTGTCTCCAGCCCCCTTCCTCCCCCTTCTCTCCCAGGGCTTGATGATCTCAAGCTCTGCAGTCTTGACAAGCAATTACCTGCACCTGGACCTGGATTCAGGGGACAAGAGCGTCTCCTCCAAAAAACCTTTGGCCAAATTACCCGACCCTCTCCCATTTGCTAACGAGAGTTGATCACACGTGGGAATCCACCCACCGCCCGCTAGCAGGTTCGCTTCTCTTAACCCTTCCCCATCCCCGCCTCAGACAGGAGGAGGCGCTCGTCTCCGACACGGTCGTGTTTATGGTAATAGCCGCCGCTAGATTTTTTTTTTTTAAGAAAAGAAAAGTTGAGGCGGCTCTACTATTACCTGTATTACAGTAGCACCGGCACAGGGGAGGAGTGAAGGAAGCAACCTAGGAGACAGCGGTGAGAGGAGGAGGAGGAGGAGGAGCAACAGCCGCGGGCGGAGCGGCGAGGCAAGACTTTCTGGCGAGAAGTGCTCGGCACCGGAGCCTTGGCTAGCTGGCGGCCCTACTTTCCCTGGAAGCGAAAGCCCGGGAAAAAAGAAGTGGCCTCGATTTCTCTAGGGACCAGGCTAAGCCGCGGCAACAGCCCCGCCCCTTTTCGGGAGTGTGTGTGTCTTCCTCTGAAGAAAGAAAGGGGGGGGAGAGGAGAAAGGGGGGGGGGAGCCGACGCCGGCTTGCTTATCAGAGGAGGAGGAGGAGGAGGGACGGACGGCGGCCAGCCAGGGCTGTCGCGTGTTGCCTGCAACATTCGAAAAAGCTCTTCTCTCCCCCGCACGCGCCGCTCCTTCCTCCTCGTTCCCCGCGCCGGCTGAGGATGCGAGGCTCCCGCCCGCCCGGCTTCTTCGCTCCCGTTTCCCAGCTCGCCGTGACCCCTCGTCCCAGCCCGCCGTGCCAGCTGCTGGGCTGGGCGGGGGGTTGCTGAACTCTTTCTTTGCATGGGGTGACCGCCGCCTTTGGCCTCGGTCCGTCTCTCCTCCGCTGCTTGCGCCTTCTGCCGGGAAAGATGCCCCGACAGGAGCTGCCTTTGCCCGAAGGCTGGGAGGAAGCTCGCGACTACGACGGCAAAGTCTACTACATCGACCACGCTAACAAAACCACCAGCTGGGTCGACCCGCGGGACAGGTGAGGAAGGACGGGAGCCGGAGGAGGCCGAGCCAGGAGCCCCGGGGTGGAGCTTGCCGCTCTACGGGCGACAGGTGCCTGAAGCAGGCTGCTCTGGTGGGGATAAGAGGGGAAGAACTTGGCCGCTGAGAGTATGTGTGCATTTGGGAAATGCGTGTGTGTATTTGTCCGCTCGTCGTTAGGTCGCTTCTCTCCCCCCTCCCCATTGTTCCTGGTAGGTCAGGGCGGCGATCTCTGAAAATTGGGGCCAGTATTAGTGTAGGTAGCTCTAGACATATGACCACAATTGAGCACAACATTTCTGTTGTTAAGTGAGACATTTCTCACAGACAATTTGCCCCATTTTAGGACCTTTCTTAGCACAGTTGTTAAGCGAATCATTGCCCTTACCTGGTTGTTAAGTGAATCTGGCTTTCCCCATTGTGGAAAAGTTGCAACAGGGTAAATCACATGAACTTGGGACAGAGCAGTGGTCATAAGTATGAACCAGTTGCCAAGCATCTGAATTTTGATCACAGGACCATGGTGATGCTGGAACAGTTGTAAGTGTGAAAAACGGTCTCAAGTCACTTTTTTTCACTGCCGTTGGAACTTTGAACGGTCACTAAATGAACTGTTGCAAGTCGAAGACTATCTACCTCTGGGATGGCTGCACAAGAAGCTGTTTTGAGTAGGAACATACCTAGCAATATTGGTAAAAGGAAGCACTTTCTGAGTTTATGCAAGTGCTTTGCTCTTGGCTTCATTAAACATACAACAACTGGACAAGGGAGGGTCTGAGAACATGGACCCAAAAGCCAGAGTGTTTAATAAGTGGGAAACTTCGAGAGATTCCATCCTATTCAAGTGTATTTAGGAGAAGGATCAAATCTTTCATTTGTGGTCTTAATTGGTGTGTATTTTAATTGTTGTATATCCTGCAAATGATCCATCACTGACATTCTAAACCCAAGTTGGAGAGGGGCTTTAATTTTTTCACTAATTTTTATGTTTAAATGACCTCTGCGCTTCAGGCTTTCCTCATCCCATTCCTTACTTTTTTTCATTTCCAAAAAGCAGGATAGAGTCAGGGTGTTCATTCCATTCCCTTTAGCAGACTTTCATGTCTAAACAGAGATTTGAACGATACATTGCCAACGTCTAACCTGCTTCCTGAAACCATGCAGAGATATCTTAAATATGCTGACCCACATGGTTGATACATTTAAATGGCATTGGTGGAATGCTTACACAGACAAAGGGCATCATGTCAAAGTTCAGGTGGAAAGCCTGTGTAATTTGAACATGGAAGCTGCCATCGGCTTGCTACACAGCTTCTTTTGTTACTTTTTTGAATGATTCATTATGTTTTTGGTCTGGTGGGAAATACTTAAGGTGGGGTAGGGAGTGTTTTGGAGTGCAAAAGCTCAATATAAATCCAATATTCTAAGCCCACTTTATAGTACAGTATTTGCTCTTGGCCCAGGGAGATCTGTGAATGGACTCCACTGTTAACTTCCCTGCATGAATATTTTTTTCTGTTATGATTACACCACATGCTTAGAATTCAGCAAAGGTATGAAAGTCAAGTGATCCATTATGTAATCTATCTTATTTCCTGGAGCCTTCAGTAATATATTGGTAGCTATTCAGGCAGTATCCTTAAAACCATTAACTCCTTTCTGCATTTCATACGGTGAATCCTGAAATTTAAATTGGCTCCCATATACTTATGCAAATCAAAGGCTAACTGGAATGGTGCTAGTCAGGACTAGCCTCCTCCTCCATTTTTTAGACTTGTCAGAACACAGAATTGCACCTGCTGAACTAAAGGTGTGTCTTAGGAAACTGGTGGTGGAATTAAACAGGTGCATAAAACTTGTTTGACTCCCCAGTTATACTTGAGGCAACTCAGTTTATTTTTTTTTGAAAAAGCTGTTTTCTTAAGTAGCTACATTTGTACATCTTAAATAAATACATTTGGTATTTAACTAAAATAACTACAATAGATTATTCTTCTTTAGACACTCTTGTTAAAAGCAGAACAATATTATATCTGAAGAAGTATTTAAACTACCTTGAATTTCACTGCTTGCTATGCAGATTTAGAGATGTAAATTTTCATTATACCTGTGATTCTTGCTAGGGTGAGTGGGGTATGCATTTGCCCCTCTTGTCTTATTAATGATATACTTTCAGTGTGGGTAAAATTGTTGCTCCATGCATTCTTGAGTATTCTTTAGCTTCTTTGCTATCTTCTTAAAAATATACTTTTAATCATTATATTTTTCATTTGTGCTCTTGGTGTGGAATATATTTTATTAAAAATATTTTATTCAAAATAATAAGATGCTTTTGTGAAAGCGTGTTTAGCTAAAATATTGGCATTTGATCCAGAGCAACTTTTAAATTAACAGAAACATGATCTTCAAATGTAGAAGAACGTATGCGTATATTGAATGTATATTGATACTCAAGACTGAGTAGATTGAGTATTTGTGCAACATTTGTTGCTTCCTTCCCCACCAAATCTATTATAAAATAGTCAGAATGAATTTTATTCTTCTCTGATCTGACTCACCACATCTTTATTTTGTATAAATGGGAAGAAGGTATAATACTTTTCCACATCTTACATAAAGGCTATGTGAAAGATAATGGACAAACTTCTAGATTTCATGGTTTCTTTGCAACAATATGGAAATCCAGCAAGCTGAACAAGATGTGAAATGGTGGCTCAGGGATAATATTAATTGCTAATATTTTCTGTGCCATTTACTGATATGACCTGTGTATTCAAATAAAAAAGTTCTTTAGAACAGCCTCACTTATGTTGCTTGTTTTAAACAACCAGATGACAGTTATTAGTAATGAAAAATGATCATCTAGTAAAACTACTTCCTGTTCAAACTTCTGTTAAGTTCTTACCAGAATAAAATCAAGGCACCCAAGGTATATCATAATACTGATATGACTACAATTAAAGAACAATGTTTTTAAAAGAAAGTATTGAACTCTAAATGTCCAATTTAATAATACTATCTGTAACGTTTTGTGTTGGAGTGTTTAGTTCTGCAGATTCCTGTTCTAGCCAGAAATCTTGAGGTTACTTAAAGTTTGTGGCATCTCTGATTTTGATAGAGTACAATTATTACTTTACTATGTTCTGTGGTGTCCTTCATGATGATGTTTTTTGGGTTTCAATATTATAGCCACTCACTTCCCTTTTCTGGGAATTTTTTCCATAATGAATAAAAATCTGAATGTATTCTTGGATTGCAGAACATATTTAACCAGATCCACAGCTTGACAACTGACATTCCTAGATGATAAGATCAGAATGTAGTTGCCCCATGTTTCTGACTTACAGTATTATAAACATGAAAGCAATAAATTATTAGAGAGAAGTGATATTGCTTTGTATGTGATTTACAAATAAAGTATTAGAAATGTAGGTTACAGTAATTCCAGAAAATATTTGGGATAGAACTAAAATGTGTATCAAATATTTTATGTGATTCTCTCATTACTGTATTTCGGTTTTAGATAATGAACTAAAACACATTGATTCAGACATAGTCATTTTTATTTTAAAATTAATGCTATGCTGTCCACATTTTGTGGTGAATAAGAATTTAGTATTAGAAGGACATATTAAATTCTAAAAACCTGTTAAATCAACATTGTTAAGAAAATACCAACTATCATAATCTAATGGAAAAGGTGGATGTGAGAAAACATGGTTGACCAAAGTTATTCAGTGAGTTCATTGAAGGATTTAACTAGAGTCCTAAGCACTACATTTCTGTGCTTACATAGACATAGTGCATTAAATTGCACAGGTATAATAGAGCCAAATTGTTGTCTGATATATTGGGTGTGCTATATATTTAACACAGGGATCTGTTGTGAGCAGAGAGCCATGTTTTGCTAACATTGTTTCTTTTATATCTTTTGGGAGAAAAATGTGAAATATTAGGATGTGGACAAAAGTCCAGATTGCTAAAAAAATACTTTCTTTGTGTGATTTAGGGTTTATGAAGTCATCACATATGTCACATCATATATTATGATGACTTCATAATCCCCAAATGCTAAATGTGTTTAAAATACAAGTAGGTAGACTTTGTGTAAAAACAATAACTTGCTTCTTTGTTTTATGATTCTGTTCTGTATGGACATAGTTCTTTAACATAGTTCTATTGCTATTGCTATTGCTATTGCTAACATCAGATCAAGGAACTATCTAGCTTGGAACATCCAGTTGAATGGTATTTCAGTATTTCATATTTCAGATAGAATTTTCCTGTTTTAGATTCATATGCTTATTCTAGAATGTGAAACACTTAAAACTTTTTTGAGAAAATTAAGCTAGAAATACACTAACAGCAGCACCAGGCCATACTTACATTGCATTCCTAAGGCTACTTCCATTGTCCAAGGGTCATAATGTTTCCAAGATCAGAATGTTGCTCCATAACATGTATGAGCAAGTATGTGTGTATATAAAAGATCTAGCTTTTTTAAGCACTGAACGTGGAAAAAGTATATTCTCTGTAGGTAGAACGATGTACCATTTTCACAAAGTTGAGGGTATCAGGATTCCCTTTTTTGACTATTATCTACTGATTTTTTTTTCAAGCTGTGTTTGAAAACACTCATCTAACTGTTTCAGCAGTATTTCCAACTCTATGTGATAATTCCTACTAGACTTTTTGTGATCTTGACAACAGTATCCTTTCAATGGGGAAACAGAGATTCGAATTGTAACAATCAAAATCCAGGTTTTCTTTAAAAAGTGAGAATTTTGTAGTCCATTCAGCCTCTCTTCCAACTTAATATTCTCCAGATGTTTTGGATTCCAGTTCCTATTATTTCTGACTATTCTGGCTTGTACTTCAAAATATCTGGAGAGCATTGGAAGCTTGGAAGTAGAGGCTATAGATCTTTGGTAAACCCATCTCAAATCTGAGGATGAAAAGTTATAAGCATGGTGCTGTCTTCTGGCTGTCTTCGTTTTA